TAGGGTGTTCAGCCCAGAAAGGAGCTTTTGCAGTACCTTTTAGGGTATTGAGCAAAAATTACAGGAGATATTTGATAATCAACTGAGTTTTAGTTTTGTCTCAGAATAGGTACCTCTAAGAGGTGAAAAAAAAAAATTAAGCCCCACCCACAAAACAGGATCTTGGTACCTTCGAAATTTCTGATGGCCACCCCCATCCCCCAGGGGCTTAAACCTTATTGGACAAGGGTTGAGTCACACTCTTTTGAGTTGTCCAATGAAAATAGCTTTTTCTTGAACAGTCATTGCCTCTGCAATTGTCATAAAATTTTTCAACATCATCTAATCCTCTTTGTCCCATGGGAGGCATAGGACATCCACTATTGCTTCCATTTCTGTCGGTCTTGAGCTGCTCTTTTGGCCTCGCACTTACTCCTGTTGAGCTCCATCAGGTCTTGTTGAATGCTTCTGCACCACATAATTCTAGGTGTACTACGTTTCCGTGTGTCTTGCAGGTTTTAATCCACCGCCTGGCACACTATGTTCGCCTAACCTGGCCTTAGTGCAGTAATAATACAGTCCTTAATAGGGTTGCCACAGGTCAGGAAATAGTCAGGGAAAAAACATTCTTCAAGGTCAGGGAAAAGTTAGGGAATTTGATTTTGAGTCAAGAAAAAATTGACAATTTGAAGAAAAGGCGGGGAAAATCGAAATAATTTAACACGGCTGTTTTAATACCGTTGAAGACTAGAGGAAACATTTGGGGTCACCTTGATCTCAACGATTTTTTTCCTTAATGACCAAGGAAAATTTGTTGAAAACTTATCAGTCTTAATGAACAAGACGGCTGTAAGTTGAGGCAACCATTAGATCTGACATTTTGTATTTATTTGTTCAGGGAATTCGATTTTTATTAGGGAAAAGTCAGGGAATTTTGAAAAGTGATGCCTGTGGCAACCATGCTTAAATTTCCTGATGTACAATGTACATGCATGTACAGTGTCAATGATTCTGATTGTTGTGGCATTATTAGTCGTGTCTTAATTTTTTTTAAATGACGTTGACTTGCAGGTGGATCTGAATAAAGAGTCGCTCTTAAAGCAATTCCAAATCGTCAAACAAGAGACAAACACGAGCCATGTTATGCAGTATGGAGAATTGGTTCGTTGCTTTGATATTATTGCTTTTCTGGTTATATATTTATACCTCTTACTAACCTACAATCGTGGACAAAAGTCCTTGGCACACTTATGTAATTTAACGAATTATCTGTGTTTTACTACTGAAGTTTGAAAAAAGCGCTGCCTTCCTTTTTAAAAACGCGTTACTGTTCCCCCTCTCCACCCAATACAATGTTGAAAATCAGAAGAAATTGCAGGTAGTTTTGGGGGCCGAGGTTAGGCAGCTGAAGTTGTATTCGCGTCTGGCGTGTGCGCGAAAGCATCAAAAGTGCAAATTTGTCCCAAGACTTTTGTATATTTTAACTTGTGACTATAACTTTCAGGATTGGGATAGCGAAGTATTGGAAGACTACCAAGGTGAAGGGAGTGGAAAAGGATCTGGAATTTCCCCAGAAGAGTACAAAGGGGAACCAATTGTAAGAATCAGTATTGTAGATACAGTATTTCTTAACAAAGCCGGCCAAATAGTTAGCATTACAAGCCTGAAATATAAAATGCTATTATTAACTTTTCAGATAAGCAACCCTCCCCCATTAAAAAAATTGCCCTTCCTCTCAGATAAATTTTCTTTCTCTAAGCCAAAATTAGCCTCCTAGGCAGATGCTCTTTGGGTTCGTCACGCAGTCTTCCTTCGTGCGGGAAGAAGATTGTGTGACGATGCTAAATGTTGACAAAATATGTTCTGAAGCAAAACGAAATCACCACCTGGCCATTATTGAGTATTATTGAGTTCCCCATGCCCGTTTGTAAATAATCGCCCACCTTTTCCTCAATTTGAGGTTCTCAGTCAGTGGGGGACAATCTAACTACAGGGCAAGCAAAATAAGAACAAGTCAGTCTTTTTTTTTTTCTCCCTTGCCCGACTTGTCTTTCTTTCGCCCGCTCACCTTTCCGGCCTTTTCAACGGTCCCCTATCATGGCAGAAAACCTGGAACTTGTAGGCTAAATATTGCTCACTTGTTGCTGCAAAGAAAACTTAAGCAAGCCACGACGGCAACGGCAACTAGAACGCCACCAAAGAGAAGGTTTAAGGAGCAGGAAAATGGCTGTGTACGTGTGTTATAAATCTTTGTACATTTCTCTGCCGTCCTCTGCAAAACAACAACGTAAAATGACCAAGTTCTGCGTACTTTTAAGAACGCGAATGACGGCGGCTAATTTTTTGTAAGTTTATTTGGAATTGAACGCTGGCGTTCACATATTTAGCTTTAGCAAGTTCTGAGACTAACAGACGCTACAGAAAGATCTAGATATTTGTAAAATTCGAAGGTAAACTATAAAATCATTTTCTACCAGGCGTTGTAGTAACATTTCCCTCTTGGATGGCAGCTACCATCGATGGAACGGAATGGATAACACTTTTTTTTTCTCTTTACGGAGATACCAAATCTACAATGTAACTTGAAAACAGTCCACACACAACACATACATGGCAGTGAAACAAATTGTGGACTGCTAACACTGCACACTTGTTTTCTTTTTAACATGAAGTGTGTAATCAACTGGATTTTTTCATTTTAGACCGATGCTGTTCCAGTACCCGATGTACATCTGAAAACCCTTCAGAACCGCTTAAGGGATACTGCATCCTGGGAGGAAAGGCAAAAAATCGTTCACGAAATTGAAGAGTTGTACGAGGTAATGTGTGAACGATGTTATGATGCAACTATAAATAGCGACAAATATTGTTAGAAATTGCGAGTGCACTCTTAGTCAAGGAGACAGGGATACATATAATTGGGACTGGAAATGTAAAGGAATCACAAATTAATCGAAAATTACAGAGAAAACTCGATCAAAATGAACTGACTGGATTTTAAAACCACACTGACATGGATCGCAGTCCTGTTATATTTTTTGCCAACAGCACTTCCTACGATCCGTCTTGTTCTGTAGGTTGACTTATAAGATATAAATTGTTTAAAAACAAGTGGCACACTTAAGATTTTCATGCTGAAATTTGTTAAGGTACAAAATACAGTCTTCTACCCGTCTTGTTCTTTGGGTTGACTTACAAGCTATAAATTGATTAAAAATACAATTGGCACACTAAAATTTTCAAGCTGAAATTCGTCGAGGTACAAAATACAAGCTGCTGGAGAACATGATTCAAAACTCCTCTTAGTGTGGTTCATCAGTTTACCGATTAAAATACGACCATTCTGAAGGCAAATTTCTTGGAATCTTTCTGTCCCGAGAAGTCATGAAACACCACTAACAGTTCCTTTTATCAAATTTCTTTTCCATTGTTTGTATGTAAACAGCTGAAGGAAGAAATCCGTAAAACCATGGAATTGATTGTGGAGCACTGTGTGTCCTCTGATGACCAGAAGATGCGAGTTCTCAAGACCAAAGCTGAACCTCAAGACTTTGACTGTTACAAGAAGGCTGTAAAAACGTTCTCCAAGAACTGCTACAATCTGGGGAAGGTAATGATAACTGTTTTGTATTTCTGTAAGCTCACTCTACATGCAGAAAAACGTATAATTCTGATAATTACAGGTTTCTGATTTCCCAAGACCAAAGCATTTCAAGAGTTTACTTGTCAGCGTTTGCAAGTTACTTTGCACTTGTCCAGCTGGATATTGTTAGGATCTAAATAATTATTTTTTTCTGCAGAATGCCACCTTAGAACGACTCTATTAACATGTCGCTGAGTGAGGTTTTTACCCAAATCAAATGTAGTCAGTCGTAAATGACTAAGGTTTTTGTGGCCCAATTAGTCTGACATGAGTAGTAATAGTAGTAATTTATTTAAAAGTCGAGCCGGGGGCTCATGATAAAAGTGCTAGATAACGAAAAAACTACAAAAACACCAAATACCAAAAACGTGAGGATAAATGCTATGCTAGTAATTTTGTGCGTATGTAGCTGACCAGTGCTTAATTGAGTAGCTGTTTCACTGGCAGCCTGCTTAGTCAGACTGATTAATTAATTTCCGAATTTGCGATAACGAAGTAGAAGACTTAGCTGCTGAAGTTAACGGGTTCCAGATGCGAGAAATAGTGTAAGAAAAAGAGTTGTGTAGGCTAGCTAACAGCTGTTGGAAGAATCTTGTATTGCATTATGACCGTTACATGGCTCGACCTTGACTTGCCTGATTTGTCGCCCAAACGTAGCAAAAAGATACTAGTAGTCTTAAATAACATTCACCGTATACATGCTCAGTCAGGGAAGTCTCACAAAAAAATTGTTGTTGTTTTAATTCCACAGAATGAACACGCTCTTCGTCATGTGTATGCACTTTCAAACTTGTGCGAGGAGAACATCGAAGCCGAAGTGTAAGTGTGATACTTGTTAACCTTTGTATGTTTGTTTAAATGTAAGTCGTGCTCCTTAATCTGCAAAGACCTCATGAGCACTATGAACAAAACAATTCTCTATACATCAAGTTACATTTTATCTAGCACTTAGAATTTTGATCAGCGACTAGAACGTGTCTTGAAGCTATACTTACTTGAGTACGGCCCGTCTTCGTATTTCGAATTTCAGTGATATTTAATTCTCTCTCGTTAACTTTTAGCGCAAAGAACCTCTCTGTCTTTTTCTGTCCCTCTGGCGTTCTTGTTTAGTACATTTTTATAGAAGTAGTACAGCATTCGCGATGAATTCGGGCAAAGTTGGCTGAAGTATACAAGCTAAATGTGAGAGGCGCGGTGGACTCATGGTTAATGCGCTCGTATCCGGACCGAGCGGTCTAGGTTTGAGCCCTGGCCGGAGACATTGTGTTGTGTTCTTGGGCAAGACACTTTACTCTCATAGTATCTCTGTCCACCCAGGTGTACTTGTAAATGGGTACACCGACGAATTTAATGCTGGGGGTAATCCTGCTATGGACTAGCATCCCATCCAGGGAGGACTAAAAAATACTCCTAGTTGCTTCATGTTACAGAAACCGGGATAAGCTCCGTATACAGATTTTGCTATACAAACTAAGTATGTTCACTAAACAGAGTTAATTTAATTGCTTTTGACAGGATTGTATCTGCAATTAAAGAACAGTGTGGAGAAGGAAAACCCGATGGGTTACAGTTTTAGACGCTGGAGTGTGACTCTGAAACCATTTGGTGTTTTTAAAAACTGTTTTTTTTTTTTATGTTCTTAAAATATTAAACTTACTGTTGTAGGTAATGCATGTATAGAAAGTAATATAGTTTTATAGATAGTTTTGCAAATAGTTGTAACGTTAGATTGCATGAATCGCTTGGTCCAGGGCTTTGGACACTTCATGTAAGGCGCTTTCCATTCAACCAAAAATTCCAGAAATTTCGAAACGGGTGCAAATGGTACGGAAATTTCTTGGAAGAGTTTACGGAAAAGTAGAAAATTTTTAAATTTCCGAAATGCGAGCCATTCAACCGGAAATTCGGGAAATCCTAGGAGGGAAATCAAACAGAACGGAAATTTCAGAAATGTTCGATAATTTAGGTACGCCTTTCGAGTTTGTCCTCTTTTCTAATAATTCCGGACGATGCTGTTCCATTCGCCACTGCGAATTTCCCTAAATGCAAACCGAAATTTTTGCTCGAATGGAAAGTGCCCTATCAATTTAGCAACGCTAGTGATCATTTTAATCAAAGTCTGTTAAAAACAGTGTTTGTAGCTGTTATTGTTTTTATTATCATTTTAAAATGCTTGTAGAATAAAAGGAGTTTGAAATAAAGGTATGTTTTTTGTTTGATTTCCTGCTTTAAACGCTTGCGAAATAAACGCCGTTATAGCATGAAATACCGCTCAAAAGTAAGTTACTGTAGGACCTCGTCTCGCGAATCGAGAGACGAAACTCGTATCGCGAGACGGGACACTCGTTTGCGCCTTTTGCAACTCCTACGCATCTTTCGCCCTCTCCAAACTTCCTAAATTTCCTGCGCGCACCATAACACAATGATGCACGCTAAATCATGAAGTTACGAATTATGAGTCAAATCCTTCAACACTGAATTATTACTATGAGATGCGGCATGGTGTCGAGAATTATCCGCCGAGGAAGGTCGCTTAAAACGATTGTAGCTAGGGTAAAGCTCATCTTTAAAAAACGTAAAGCTGCTTAATAAGAAATTTACGACAGCACTACGCCAGCTTACAACAGTAGTAAAGTTATGTTTTCATGCTGTGTAAACAGACAAAATATGCTGCTATCCAAGACTGACGAGGTTCTTATGAAACTCAACGTAAACACAAACTCGATATAAAAAGACAAAAACCAACGTTCACAACTAAAATCTTAGGCGAGTTCAACATCAATACGAAACTTAGTCTCCACAAAACGCAAATTCCAAATGAAAGTAAACCACCGCACAAAGCTGAATTCAACTCCAAGCCAGACGAAACTCGACATCCACACAAAATATAGCCTGTAACAAACAGTCGCTCTCTTTCCTGTCGCAAACCAAGCATGCACGTTCTAGACTAAAGTGGATAGAACAGAGTGTAAAAATACCTTAAAACCATAGTGCAATTAAACATTTCCAATCTTAATGTTTATTTCTAGGGTTGAAAATACTACAAAATATGTTACACAAACATCACATTGATGAAATGAAGCTAGACAAGGCGACGATGGTCTCTACAGGTCTTGATCTCAGTCTTTCTCTGTTTCAAACGCTGCCTGTTTGTAAGGCTCGTGCAATAAAACTCGGTGAACGTTGATCTTAATCCTCGTCTTCTGAACTAGATTCCTCTTCAAGTGATTCCTGCGCAAAACAGACACATAATTAGCACAGGGCATACACTCTAGTAATGTGGGAAATCAAACTTCCCATTTAAAGGGGTTTAATTCAAGGAAAAGTGAATGCTTTTGTTTTTGACACTATTTCAAAGGGCCAGGGGCAGATTCAGACTTCTACACAAAGTGGGGGCCTAAATTGAAAAAATAATAAATTAACCTGACAGAGAGGTTTTTCTCCCTTTTGAACATCACTTTACTGAAAAGGTTCAAGGTAGGTTCTCAAAACAAGTCAAATTACGTTTTAGGTCGCTGCTATCGGTGGGTCGTTATTTTCGTAATGTTGTCACTTTCACAACTTGCAACTACTTCCTAACAACCACGAAATTTCATGACTAATTTCGGGGAGTCACCATGACTGGGATAACAAAGTTCAACATGCTTCCCCCAACTAACCTTAGCATATTTTTCAGCTGCCTCGGCTATCTCCTTTGGTACCCATTGATGTTTACCGTTGGTAACTGAAGAGAAAAAAAAAACATTCATTTGATAAGTTACACAATAAGCTTATAACCTCATGGAAAGCTTAGACCCTTCACATTTACACGGTAATGCACTTTCCTTACAAAGATAAACGCGCGATTTCCTTGGGTTGGACTCGAAAATCCAGCATTACAAAGTTAGTGCAATTTACCAGAGACAGTCTATAGGCGTCAGTTGGAGCATCAAATGTCATTATTGGCAAATCCCTGTTGAAGCACATGTAAAGTTTCTGCCATCAAATAGCACTGAAAGGATTCAATAGTAATCTAAAAGTTGTCACGCTCTCAAGGCTTGTTCAGGACTCAGTAACCTTAATATCAAAAGTTAAACTACATACTCAGTGCAGTCTCAGAGAGCTGAATTGTAGACATCAGCTGGTTGGTGGTACTTGCTCACTCACTGCAGTGAGAATGAGCTAAATAAACAGCAATCAAGATACCTTCTCCTATCCAGCTTAATTCCAGTTCAAAGTTTTTGTCTTTGACCTCATCGTGTACAACATAAATTCTGTGTAGGAAAGAAAGAAGTAAATTCAGACACAATGTTAATATAAAATTTATTAAACATTTAAAGTTGTCTTTCAGTAGCATGTTGATTAAAAGGACAATTTGATTGCCAAATCAAATTGTCCCTATAAAATTTATCAATACTAATAATTAATTTTAATTACTCCACACTTCAGATAACAAGAATTGAGTAGCTGGGCTTCCTCATAAATTAAAATATGTGTAACTTTACACAGTTTTGATTTTCTACAATAATGAAGCTACAAAAACAAATCAAACTGTGAAGAATTTGAGGAAAAGTTAAAATAAACAAATCTGATAGTAACACACACAGAGAAAACTATAATTTAAGGGCCCATTAACCGATCTTTTCGAGACGTTGCTAAGGAAAATTTATTCTCATATAACCTCATCATTTTTAGTTAGTTCAGAGTTATTTCATGTGTTTTAACTTTTTCATGATTAGTAACACTNGCTATGCATAGATTTTGTTTCATTTCTAAAAGGTCAGATTTTGAGAGAATTTCAAAATATTAAAAAATTCATAATTTTCTGAAAAGAGCATGATTTTGAAAAACGAATGCATAGCTATCTTTCCAACGTTGGCTTTGATCGAAATGCGTCAAAAAAGGCTGGATTTAATGAAAAACCACGTTTCCTTTAGCATTTAAAGAAACCTGAAGTGCACCCGCTATATATTGGAAGTTACCCTATCAGCACATGCGCAATTTACACTACCAGCGTTCTTCAGTAAGATCAAACAAAGCCACACGGAGTTAGTTTCTCTCTTTCTATTGCTCTTGTTTTTCTGTCTTTTTCTTATTTTGTCTCTGCTTGTACTTTTTTTACTTTGTATTTTGTGAAACACAAAGAAAAACATCTAAAATGTAAGCGAATTTGGAAGTCATTGAGTTATTTTTATTTTCCACACTCAGGCTGATGTAAGTAACCAGAAGTGAAATTTCACCTCCTTAACAATGTGCACGAGCACACGCATAAGTCGGTTAATGGGCCCTTAAACAAAGAAAACAAAACTTGCAACTTACATTTTAGCAACTTCTTTTACAAGTTCTTCACATGTCATGTCTTTCATCTGCCCAATTCAAACAACAGCAAATTAATTTCGGTTTACATGCACATTAAAATATTAATCAGTCGAGACCATTTTAAGTCCCCAGTAGGAGTCAAACCCAGGGCCTTACAGATACCAGCTGGATGTTCATAGGTCACTGAGGTACAGTGGAACATCGACTTGACAATTCACTATAGAAGTCCCAGTAATAGTGAAATATATGGAAAAGAACCTCAATTCAGTCAAACCTTGTCATAGCAAACATATTTTTCCAGTCCCCTGGCCCTTTGTTAAATCAAGGTTCAACTGTATGCAAGACTCTTAGTGGACAAAATTGTACAACCAAGTTCACATATGACACAAATCCCACCCAGCTGCAATGCGCAATAACTTTGAAATGAGAAAATATGAATCATGGCAACTTGTATAACAGGGCTCGAAATTAACTTTTTCGTTCGGAAACCCGCTGGCGA